TCAAGATCATCTTAATTCCTTTAGAAATGCATTTTACTTTTATATAAAATAAATATTTTATGTTTTAAGTTTTTGTTTGTTTGTTTGTTTCATTTCACGCCTTTTCCCAACAGTATTTCAGTCATATTGGCGGGTAGTTTCCTAACCATCGTTCCTGGAGAGTTACACCAGTACTAGACTACCTTCCTTCGTGCTAAACTACCAAAGCATCTCCCGGGGATCGAACCCACGCCAGAGAGGTAACTGGATTAGAAGTCATCGACTCTAACCCCTCGACCACGCAGGCGGTATTATGTTTTAATTAAGTGAATATGTTTGAATTTTTGAGCAATAAGCCGTAACCAAAAGGTTAATCATTTCTCGGGAGTAAATAGTTAGCTGTCATTTGGTCACGGAGGCCCCTCATAACTTTTTGATATAAATGCAAATATTGTGTTAAACAATAGCTGAAAGTAATGACATATGATATACAATCATATTAAAAATTCAAACACATATCAGTTTCCGCCGCCTAATTCCTTTAAGTATGCAAGTCATAAGTGATTGCATTTGGAAACCCGTTGAACATTTCAAAACAAGGCAATGTCAAAACCCAAGTTAACCATTTTTAACGTCCCCGCGAGGGGTTTGACATTATCGGAAGATAGATAACAACCGCATGTACATTAATTATTAGAGCAACCTGATTAATAAAATCAGCTCATAACTAACGATACGCTACAAGTAAACATAAGATTTGAACTTTTATCATGTTGAAATTAACTGTACATTGTAGTCTATTAAATTTAAATGCATTGGCTGCGGTTGTATTAACAAACATATTAGCGGAACAAAGTAACCACAATTAAATGATATCATATTCGACATTCAAGTATAATCTTTCATAAGCATCAGCTTAATTGTTATGTCACTGGTTTACTGTATGAAAATTGTTTGGTCTTTGGGCCCCGGATCAGTGGGTTTGAGTGCTATATTTTCCTTGAATACTTAAGTTGTTCAGATGTGTGTTGAGGAACATCAGTCATTGATGAAATAGAGAAAAAAAGAACCCCCTATAAAGAAAGTTCAAAACGGCAAAATTGAAAATGTTGCAGGTTCCGTTTGATAAAGCCCAAATTAACACTGTCCCGGTAATGGCCACGGTATCGCTACTGTGTCTTAAGCTGGTGAACCGAGGTGTTCCGTGGTGTTTTTCTGAGAAATCAAATTGCGCTTACACATCCCCGACAGAGCTCAGGTGTATTCCCGGTTCAGAACCCGATATAGCACTGTAACACCGCACTTTGGGGTCAAACTGTAACACCGCACTTTGGGGTCAAACGCACTTTGGGGTCCGACCCCAAAGTGCGTTAAACTTCGCACCGCACTTTGGGGTCAAGGTCAAAATCGAGAAATTGACCCCAAAGTGCGTTAATATGCTACATATCAACGCACTTTGGGTTTCAGAGATCTAAAGGTGTCATCTGAGTTCTGCTTAAATACTGAGTACTGACTTATTTTCGATCTGCGACATTGAAATATTTGAGGTGGAATTCAAGATGGCGGTCAATACTTTGATGATGCTTAAGTGATAAAAGTTTGATTAATTTTACCACTTGAAATATCTAAAAATTGTGTTCATATAACAAAATTACGGTGGCATAAAAGTCACATTTGCATTTTTTTTTTAGTTTTGCAATACATATTTTTTTTTTAGTTTTGCATTCATATTTTATTTTAGTTTTTCGTACATATTTTATTTTTGTTTTTACATATTTTAGCCAATCATAACAGCCTCCACATATCATAACAGCCCATAGTTGAGTATAAAACTAGCACCGTGGTTTGGTCACATTTCGGCCCATTTTTGGAATCGGCCCAGTCGTTTTCTGCCGGGCAAGTCTGGTTTCGGCCGACCCTTTTCGGCCCATTTTTTTAAGTATATGTATTTTAAATAATTATTGTTTTTTTATTATTATATACTATTATATACGTGTCTATTTGAAAAGGGCGGAAGATTGGTGATCAGTTATTATTATGAATATGCACCACTCAACCCCACCCCCTGATAATAGGGGGGGGGGGGGGGGCATTGACTTTAAACCAAGCCGACCACTGGTAAAATCTTCGCCCTGCGGGGGATACTCAGATAACAACATTCCTGCCTTATGCCCCAGAACAGCGCAAACATCAAAACACGATTTTTTTAACCCGCACTCCCCCGGCAGCAAGGGAGGTGGTTACAAATGACTGGTGTATTACAATAATACACAACAAAAGATCTAAAAAGGTTCCTTATATTCCACTGATTTAGAAAAAATGCTTAAAGCTAAGCTTTAAAGGATTTTTATGAAAATTGGGTCAATTCCTTAGCACATCAGATAATGTGCAGAACTTATAGGCCAGGTGTGCCGGCTCAAGGTCGGGGGACACACCTACAGGTCAAAGGATTAAGACTTGGGTTTCATGTCTGCTCCTTATCTTCAAAACCCCATAAAGGATTTTCAGGCACTTTGTGTAAAATGTTAACCACATCGAGACAATATGCAGAATCTTTCTTTGGGTTACCGCGGACTATATATATACTAAAAGTGTTGTTATTTTTTGATACCTCCAAATTGAAAATGTTGGTATTTGCAAATGGCATTTGCAAAAGGGGTACTGTAATTTACAGATGGCGAAGTGTTTAAAAATGGTGTTTTACAAATGGCGCAATTATCCAAACCACTACTTTGCAAATTGCGTCATGTAAAAATATGTACGAAAAAAACAAAACAAAAATAAAACATGTACAAAAAACTAAAATAAAATATGTATGGAAAATTAAAAACGAATATGTATGCAAAACTAAAAAGAAGTATGTATTCAAAACTTAAAAAAAATGTACGACAAACAAAAAAAATTATGTACGAAAAACAAAAAAAGTGTAAAAAAAATGCAAATGTCACTTTTATGCAACCGTTTCAAATACTCTAGTACAGAAATTGTGTTTTCCTAAAATTAACAGATGCTGCGAAAAATGTCCCGTTTTGTCAGTCATTTACTTGATAACTCTTGGTGCCATATTGAGCCCCATTTTAAATATGTTGGGAATGAAATAAAATGCATTAAATTTTTTTCCAAAGAACTATAAATATACTCTATTGCAATGTTCTGGTGAAACATCAAGTTTTTCGATCGGACTATAAATAGAGATTTTTACAAATACATTATTAAGCTTATCAACAAACTTAAGGGTTTTTGTAAGCTCCGTTACAACCGTTCGCCAGAGGCTTATTTTAATGGGAAATCTTACATACTTCGTTAGAAAGAGCAAACTTGAATTTTATAATGTTAAAATAATGGTATCAGAGAAATGTAAGATGCTTGTTACCTGAATAAAGTAGCGATAAATGTGAGATTATTTGTCATAAAAGTAGTCAAAACAATGTAGTGTTTGACTTCCATATAAAATACTAATTCACTATAACTGTACTCATCATTGCCAAAAAGCAACAGATGAAAAAGATGGTTCAGGTAATTGGCCAATGTGTATTTTTTGGATAATATAGAAGAATATCAAAATAAAAAAGCTTTTAAGAAAAACAAATAAAAGCATAATGGGCCTTTAAAACGTTATTTTTAACCCTCGGAGGGGGGGGGGATCGATACCCCAAAATCCCCTCTATACCCACAGTGAGAATTTTACATTATTCTGAAGCTCCGCTCTTAATGTGCGACTACTTAAATAGTTGATATTTTAGGACTACTACCTAAAGCCGCATCTACACCTAGTCAAGTTTCTTATATGTAACATTTAGCTAAATTAATGGCTCTTTCAACATATTATCAGGCAGGCACTTTTTTTTACTGAAATGTCTTACTAAAATTGCCCAGAATTTATACCTTTGTCTATGCTAAGACTATCATATTTCTATAAAATGTGTAAATAAAAAACGGGAAAATAATCCATTTAGCTAAAAACAATGGAGTTAATGAAAGGTGTACATTCTTTTGAAATAAATGGAAAATTTGAGAAAAAAAATAGTTTAAGCTTAATAATTGATACAAATTTCTTTATTAGGTGATTTATTTGGTGAAAGTTTTTCACTTACTAATCAAGACCATTTAAATCACTATTGATTCTACTATAATCCAGGGCACATGTTTTGCGTCTTTTTAATACCTTGATTTTTGTTTACCATTCGCTTTGACTACAATATATTATTTAAAACATTATGAACATTAATTTTCTATAACCCCAAAGTGCGGTCGTTTGGCTGATGTTAAAAAATACATATGTACCTGTTTAACGCACTTTGGGGTCGAAATTGGACCCCAAAGTGCGTAACGCAAGTGCGGTGTTACATAGCTTAATGTAGAGGGTCACATAGCTATGGATCATTCATGTGAATTTTTATCAAAATCTAGAATGTTCCCTGGCGACAACAGACTGCAAACACCATTTTACCACAAAAGCTCACTTTTGCATTCAACCTTCCAGAAGAAAATTAACTTGAGAAAAATGATTTTAAAAAAGTGAAAAGATTCAAGAACCAAGAAATAATTCCATGTTATGTGCGATTAATGACTGATACTGTAGCATTAATCATTTATCTACTGCGTTACTAACGCAGTAAGGACTATTTTTGCGTATTTTTACCTCTTTTTGGTAATGTACGTGGATTGTAAGCACCGTTGAAATTAATATTATTGTTCACTTCACTTTAAATACATTTTGAAATTTTCATCATGAATGTGGAGGCATTAAGACAGAAAAGAAATAAATATTGATGCAAGAATAAACCCGTGCGGACTCGTACTCTGCCATCTGGTTTCTCTTTACTGATTCCCTAAAATTATACACCATTAAACGATCAAATACGTGTAATCAATATTGTGTGATGCCTATGTGAACAATATACAATGTAAGTCTACGTTTAAAAGGCGTTTTACATTCATTAAAAAGTTTTCATTAACGAAGAAAGTAAAATTGCTTTTTTAGAATTTATTTGACAAATCTTAACTCTGTTGTTATTTTAATGTGAGTTCAGTTGAAAAATGTTATAGTAAGTGTATCAGCAATAGAACCGAGCAACAGAATCACATGTATTGGAAAAACTATTCAGCAACTAGCACAAAATTTGCTTCTTTTATTTATTTGCTTTTTGTGGCATAAAAGACTGACGTTAAGTTTGTTTCGTATCGGTTTCGAAGCAAACGATAATAATTAAAATAAATACAAATATTGATTAAATATTAAATAACTGGAAATAATAAATGTGTATTTCTCTGGAACATACTTGTTACTGAAGACATTTAACATGTTTTAAACTCTAGTCTGACGAATACATTATTGGTAAAATTTCATCGAAATGTAAGTATTCTTCATTTGCAATGAAAATATTTTTATGCAAACTAACAGCAGAATCGTTTATACATTTATTCGTCTATGTCAGTTCACTTTTTTACCATTGCAATTGGAAATTTTTGTGTGTATGTGAATGTTATTGTATACACTCGTGCGTAATTTTTTTAATGCACCATCTTATTTGAATTAAAAAAAATGAATAATGAAATATTTATCACTGCATTATTTGCATTAAATGATCAACATCACATAATGACATAGTATACCTACACACCGCACAAACTATAGTAAAAAGACTTTTTGTTACAATGGTGCAAATAAATGGAATAGAATACCATCTAATATACATTCTTCTAATTCTCTGACATCTTTAAAAAATAAGTACATGTATAAACAACATTATCTTGCAGATCAAATAAATATCTTCATAACTCTGTCAATATGTCATTATGTTATAATAATTATTATGCATGTATATTTTGTTAAAATATTTTTAAATGAAAATTGTATAAATGATATTTGATATCTAAAAGGAGCGTTTGTCATAGGACAAAATCTTAATGAAATAGTTAACTGTTGTTATTGTTTTATGATGTTTTGTGTTTCTATATATTGTTTAGAAGGCCACATTTAAAATTAAGATATGTTATTTGTTTTCTACGATGGTATATCTTCATGTGTTACCTTCTTTAAATAAAGATATTATTATTATTATTATTATTATTATTATTATTATTATTATTATTATTATTATTATTATTATTATTATTATTATTACATAGCAGCCATAATTATAAATCAATCGTGATGTTATTTTATTTGCTTTTTGTTGTTTTGCTTGAAGGATAAAGACATTGTATGCTTTAATGTGTGACAAACTCAGCCTTAAAGGTCCCTTGTGCCAATGGAATGCTTTCATTTTTGCGACGGACGCGCCCTCAGGCGCGTTCAGAGCTAAGTCATCTACACATGGGATTTCGTCGGCTACAATCGCGCAAGGTGTCCTCAACCGATTAACAGCCCAAGAAATAGTACATGAATTTGATCCTTTAAAACTCCCATACTTTGTCGGGATATCTTAATTTCTTCCATATTTAGCCTTTTCAATTTCAAATTAAGTTATCCAAGTTAAAATATGAACGTATATGATTGATAAAAACTTTGTAGTCCCGTAGTATTATTGCGCAATATGCAAATTACTACCGAAACGATTTACCGCTGTCGAAAAAGTAGGACAGCAAATTATACTATAATAAAGGTGTAAGCTCTGAGTTCCAAGAAATTATTAGTAGGAAATAAATATTTCTACATTATACAAAACATTATTATTAACAAATCAAAAGTTTTTCGTGAGTCTAGAATAACTCGCGCATTAATAAAAGAAGAACTATTTTCGTGACTCATACCGCGGGTTTAGCTGAATATTCAGCAGTTATTAATAAATTAGATACAGTACAATGGTTAGTATAAATATCTATGTTTGAAAATGCATGTAACAAGAGAGCTTTTCAACACTTTACCACCATGTAGTCTTTCATGGTTATCTTTATTGAAGGAAGTTATAATATCAGTTCTACTTCCGATTCTTGTGGTTTGTTTACAAATAAATTTCTAGGTCACGATATGAGTTAACCTTCGCTATTCTAAAAATAGATTCTGCTTCACTTATGCTGATTTATGGACAGGCGATTAGTACACATTATACATGTAATAAACCAGCGGATTACATGCAATACAAATGACTTATATTTTAATTATTGTCTATATGCCCACTATGATAACACGAAGCAATTCTAAATAGCATTCTCACATGTATAATGTATTATGCTTGAAGTTTATTTGCATGGTTTTATTTTAGAAATATTTCGTTGTCAGTTTTTTCTTCTATTTACATATCATTTCTAAATCGATAAGGACACTGATTTACAAGTTTGACCAGAGTTTTTAGGCATAAATTTCATTCTGTATTTAATGCTTGAAAGTAGAAAATCTGAATTATAACAGTTTGGGACACAAAATATATTGCTCTACAAATCTCGAACTTGTATGGAACAAATTTTCTCTGTTATATATTTTGTGTTTTGTTTTATTAAAAAAAAGCCTGAATGTCTCTCCGGTTGCATGTCCGTCGCATTCAGTGCTGCAGCACTTTGATTATTTCTCAAAGTTGTCATGTTAAACTTTAAAAAGTTACTCATTGACCAATTATCTGGACCATATTTTATCTCATTTGCTTTTCGGCATTTAATACATTTACAGTGTTTTAATATTTTGTATGGAAGTCAAAATACTATTTTGTTTGTATTTGCTACTTTAATAGCATCTTAGCTCACCTGAGCTAGTCCAGGGTAAGCTTTTAGTACTCGCCAGTCGTCTCGTCAGTCCTTATTTAGTCAGTTAAAACTCTTAATGTTCACATTTATTTCAAAAACTAGGTAATGAAAAAACCTAGATAACACACTAGAGGCAATATCTTAGGCACAAATATCCTGCAAATTTGTTAGCAAAGTTGTTCAAATGATTTAATTGTCTTGTTAGAATATGGGTCATTTTGGGTCAGAAGCTAGGTGGCACAGTCAAAACATAGAAAAACGGTATTAACGTTGGCACTATTTTATGTGCAGATATTAACATTATGATATCAGTTTAAGATTTTGACAAGATCTGTTTTTCATTCATAGCTAACAAAAATATATCAGTTGTTCCTTGTTATTAAGAGGCTTAATAATGATGAACATCTTACATGCTCCAAAAACCATTTTTAAACATAAAAATGAGGCATAATGTGCATTTAAAGATATGACTTTAATTTGTATATATATATAGTCAAGTTAGATTTACAGACAGCATTTAACAGAGTGTGTTTTGTGAGTTTTTGAGTTTATTTATATATACTTGCCGTCAGTTGCCCATATGGACGAGTCCTCCAGAAGAGTATAAGTCCTAGATAAGTATAAGTATAGATTTTTGAGAATAGTGCAAGATACTGATTAGTAATTTTAGTTGGCCAGCCCAGGAATCGAACCCACAATGTCGACATTTTACAAAACGATATTTCCTTAGAAACAAAAGTAGCATTTCGCGCATGAACATTTTAGTGAGATAAAAAAGGATACAAAGGAACAAGTTTTATCAGTATAAGAGGAGGGTTGAAATATGAATGCACATCAGCACGTAAAATTTGATTCTTCATAGGTTTTACTTTAATTTCATTTTGTTCCCTGAAAGTATCACCTCCAACAGATATACAAAGTTTCAGTCTCCGGATCCAATCTGCGATTTTCATAGCGCTGAACAAAATTTTCGTTAAAATCTCGTTTTGGTGTTTTTGTTGTTTTTGGTTTTGCTCATGAAAATGAACCCAGTGACGACATTTGCAAAAGACCGTGTTGTTTAAGTATTGCACACGAGCCTATTTGTGTACACACGTGTACGCACCGTAAAAGATGTCGTCATCAATTTTTGTTTAGTTTGGTTTAAACACATCAACAAAACAAGTTTGCTTCTTTAAAAAGAAGCATGCGAGAGGTCTTTTTACAGCTGCGGAAGATTTTTTTTATTCGAAAATATTTGGAGATATTTTTGCATAAAAGGCACATTTAAAAAAAAAAAAATTATATATGGAATAAATTATAGTATCATAATAAAAGTTGTTTTTACACTTCATTTTTTAAAAATGTTTTGAAAGATTATATGCCGGAGAAATTGACAGTTTCTTGGCGCATCAGGGATACTTTTTCTACAAAGGAAACAATTTATGTTATGTTATCAAACTAAATTTAAAATAAATGATATATATTAAAAGTAGCATCAAAATGAAAGTTTCTTGTAAAATTCAATAATCAAATTTCCGGTTAATGTTTTGGTAGGTACATGTATATGGAAACATTTCCTCTGCAACACAGATTTTCCAAAACGGGCATAAAGTATGTTAATCAAACAACTTTAAATCCCAGATTTACATAAAAAAATGTTTATATAATTTGATTTGAATAAACAGTATATAAAACTGAATGCCTCCTACCACAATATTTGAAGAAAATCAAACAAAATATTTGTGCCGTCTGCGCCAAAAACCTCCTTTGCCTTATTTAGTCATACAGGTTCAAAAGTTAAAGGAGCAGCAAATTTTCGGTTCACGGTTTCACTCGGTCATATAATAATGCATGATAGCTATAATGTTCACTATTACTATTATCGGGACATGAAATATAGTAAAACGCTATTCAGAAAATTATACGGTAATCGATTTATACAGTTTAAAAGATTAAAACGGAATTTACCATTCACGTATAGTGTTAAGTAACGTAAATAATATTTTCCGATTTTTCTTTGTACCGATTTGTTCACTTTGATGTTATTTTCTTTCTGCTCCTAGTGGTTTAAATGAGATTCGTTCACGCAAAAATGGATGCCGTCAGCAATCAGTCTGAACACTGTGGAGACGTCTGATGACCTCTCCAATAAAGCTCTTGATAACCTAGCTGATTCATCAGTGTTACAGAATTTATAAACGGAAATATGGAAAATTTAGGGGTACTGTTACAACAAATATCAAAATGTGTGCTTTAGGTATGAGCCCCCTAATGGACACTTTAAGGAACTATAAAATTGACAATATATAGTTCAGTTATTTACCTTAAAGGACACCTGTATGCAAAATTTAAACAAAGTTTACCTGATGGTTTTCGAGTTATGGAGATTTTTCTTTAAAAAACTTGCCTATTAGAAAGGCTCTTTTTCAGAAATGAGAAACTCTAAATAATGTACAAGTCCAAATGTTGCTGCAATGCAGCAATTGAGAAGCTCCGCGCAAAAATGCGCTCATTACAGATACCTTACCAATTTATTCCTACGCACAGGCCATGTTATATTCAGATTAAGTACTATTGTAGATTTTTCCGAATGTTTTGTAAACAATTTTTTGCATAATACTTATCTTATGCAATTCAAAATATCCTTAAAATTAACCAAAAAGATGGTGTGTTTTCAAAGTTTGCCTAAAT